TCCCTTCCAACTCACAACATTCCATGATTCTTTGTTGCCATCCATTGACTGGCAGTAGCTTTTCAAATGACAGCACTCCCTGTTGTGCTGGGGCACCTGTCTCCTTATCTCCCTCAAACAGATCAGGCTCAGCAGCAGCAGAGCCTGCTCAAGAGCAGAGGACAGGGCTGCTCTGTGTGCACCCCGACAGAGCACCCCTGTGGTGACACAAAGCTTAGGGCTTGGGCAGGGAGACTCCAATGGGCAGTGATTTTGAACATTTGGTTGTTAGGTGACTGCTGATGGAGGAGAAGCATCCATAGAAGCTCCTCGACTGTCAGAACTTTGTCAGGTTTTCAAATAAACTTGATATTCATGTCAGGGAGCTGACACTTAAGCCTGGGTTTGAGAGGAATCTGCTCTTTCACTCCCTCCACACACATTTCACACCACAGCACACCCCCCGCCGCACTTGGGTAGCCACACAGAAGCAAAGTGCCAGGTAGAGAAGGATCCCATGAATCCTAAGAACCATGAAAGGTGAGGGACAAAGACATAGATCTGCTTATCAGAGCACATAAGCTCAAACACAACTAATGGGAAACAAAAACCAGGTGCATTGTCAGGGCTGTGCTGCTCTCAGTGGAAACCTGAAGCATCAAAAGTTATCCTCACACAGCAAGAGGGAAAAGGGGTTTCCAGGGGCAGCAGCAGAAAACTTTTTAAAAAGCAAACAACAAAGAAATGAAACCCACTCACAGCAGCAAAGCAGCCCACGCTACCAAGAACAAGGCTTCTATAGGACAAGATTAGGAACCAGGGTTGATTTCCTCACAAAACATGGTTCTGGTGGGCTTTGCTTCATCAGCTGCGGCCCAGACTCACCTCCTCGCGGAGTTCCTTCATCCTCTCCTCAAAGTCATAGTCCTTCTGCTTCTCTTCCATCTTCTTCTTGTTCACCTCAAAGCGTTTCTTCACCTGGTCCAGCGTGGAGCGCTCCACTCGCATGGACATGCCCAGATTTCTCTGGTCTAGAAAGCAGGAGTGGAATCAGCCATGTTCAGCAACACTCTTAGTCTTTGAAGATCTGCACATAGGCCCCGTCCCTGATCCCAACTTAAATACATCAGCATGACAGCCTCTTCCTACCCGTCATCCATCCCCTCACAGCAGCTTCCAGGCTCAGAACACACTCATGCACAAGGCCGTATGCTCTCAAGGCTCAGACCTCCAACCTGACCTAACCTCACTGCCTCAAAAGCCACCCACCACACACAGAATCACAGAATGGTGGGGGTTGGAAGGGACCTCTGGAGATCATCCA